CCCATTTTATTCTTTTGTGATACACTGGAGTTCTAGTATTTTCTGAGTGCTCCAATCACTGGGCAGTGTTTCTACTGAAATTGCAAATACGTAGTTTTTGATGACAATGGGTCCCCCACAGCACTGCACCTGGTGTTCCTTACATAAGGTTATCACATAAAATCTATGTTTGTTAGCAGCATACGTGCATTGCAGTAAACGCATTTTAGAGCCACGATGTCTAGTTAACAGTGTTAAACATAGTTGCCACTCAAATGTGCAGGACACAGCAAACTGGGTTTATTACATAACTATGAATTCGTTTGCAGCTGGGTCCTAGCTAGGCAAAACAGATGCTGTAAGATACGAAAGGATTAAACTGTCTTGGTTACATGCCCAACATTTTGCTAAATATTTTATGTAGCATCATCTGGCACACGTTAATTATGTTGTATTATTACTGTTTTAGAAAAATAGTAGTTATAAATAAGAAGCCATTTTTTCCTGCTGCTTTGATCTTGAAGCAAAATGTTAATACTAACAGCAGCATGTTACATTTAATATTTATCATTAAGTGAAAGCCTAAACGATTACATGAGTAATGTCTGCTATCTTTCAAAGGGTCCTTCTCAGCAGGAGTTGACATCTGAAGGTCCCTGCTACAGTATGTTTTGAGAATCTCCAGTAAATTGGCTGATGGCAGCTTTTACTGTGCACTGAAGAGTACTTTGACTGGAAAGCCAAATGCTAAATTAATCACAGATAAAAATAGCAAGCTGCTCAGTTCTCTTTGTAAAATCAGAAATATTCTGAAAAAATTTTGTGAAGCTGAATTTTCTCCAGATTAAAGCCAAGAGCTATATAACCAGTAAAGGGTACTCTCAGATCAAGTTATTTCAGCAGTTTTTCATCTTGTAATAGAAATAACTGCAATTAAAACTTGAAAACGAGGACAAAAAACTTTTTCTTTTACTACAGAAGAACTGTAATGGAAAATATTCTTTCAAGAAAATGAAAGGCATTTAAGTCAGTCCTGGAATCTCATCTGAAGCTACATCCTTTCTCTCGTGTATGAAGTACCTGAGTGCATTAACTTCTTGGACGTCGATGTTTTGTATATACTCAGCTATGTTATCTATCTATCACATACAGTTCTGCGGCCTCTAAAACCATTAATTTGAATGCCTTGTAATCATTAATGTATTCATTCTCACAACACAGTGGAGAAGTATTGTCCCTAATTTTAAGATTATGAACAGAAAGAATAACTGCCTTGGGAATCCTTAACAAAACAGAAGCAGCAGTTAAATTTAACACAAAAAGTCCTTTGTTTATCATCTTAATTTGGGTGCTTTTATAACTCTGACAAGTAAAAAAATATTTGGATGAGTAGGGAAGTACATCTAAAGGAATCTTCTGACTTCCAGTGCACCATACAGAAAGTCACATAAGCAGCAGTCTTAGAAGTTAATTTGACTTTATTTGAACAGAATACAGTCATCTAGAAAACAAGCTAACTCCTTAAACACTGACAGATGCAAGAGACAGCACAGGTATTACTGGAGAAGCAGTAGTTTCATTATCTCTTAAACTACTTAGAATAACAAAACACATTACAATTTATTAGGGCAATCTATTTGTGAATACTCGCCCTAACAAGTTCTATCATGCACTCAAGTGAGATATAAACTATCCAGTCTTTAAGTTTACTAACATCATATTATGCAAACAGTTTCAAGTAAATACTTTTACCTAATTTTAAAAAAATCTGTCACCTTCCACAGCACCACATGAAGTTCTGGTGTTAAAATAACATTTAATCCACAGCAATAGCTAAATATTTCAAATACTTATGTAATACACTGTAAACTCTACGTAAACACTACGTACACCAAAAAAACATACAAAGAACAGGAAGATCATTTTGATTAGCAAAGACAACTCAAATGTATCGCCAAAATCATTTTTCTGTTCTTACGACTTATCCCCAAACCACTCCCAGAAAAGGCACAGATAGTGGTGATTTTTTTTTTTGATTTTTTTTTTTTTTTTTGTAAAACACACAAAGCCAGAATCAACACAATAGGCCTATGCAGTCAAATGCTGCTTTATTTCTAGGAAAAACAGGTAAGGAACTTGCATTAGTGTAAGTATGTCCCAGGAAGATTCTAGTCAATAAAATATCTCCAGCATCTGCTTACTGTCCTAGGTTCAAATGCAGAAAAGAAACAGAAATTAAATGTAGTTTAGCAGAACTTTATTGTACATCTTGGGTATGAATACCAGCTAGAGTTACTTGCCTATTCCAAGGTAGTACTGAGGCTCATCTTACAATCAGGAGAGTATTAATGGCACTCAGTAGACATGGTGGTTTTAAAATTAAATGGGTAATTACTGTTCAAAGATTATACTCATAAAGTATTTAACAATGCTTTTACTTTGGTTAAACAAAACCTTTAAATAAATAGATCTTTTAAAATGTAGTGTAACTACACAACTTACCACAATGCTTCAATACATAATGGAGTACCGATCAGAAAATTATTTACATCATTCCAACTTTTGATTATTACAGTATCTAAAAAGTTCTCCTTTACCAGCAAATGATGCAGTGTTTGGCAAAGAAATGCTATTGGTAACTATTTAAACAAAGATCCAAATATATTTGTTATCCCCTTTGTTAGAAACAGAAACATTTAAGAAAAAATATTTTAATAAATCTATATCCTAAGCTATCTAATAATACTTCTACTAGTACACTAAACACGTTGCCTTGTGTGATTATATGCATTGATGAACCCAGACTCAGATGCCCTTAATGGTTACCTAGAAGACAGAAGGCACTGCTGGAGTCTATGACATTTTGTTTCAAGTGATCTTTGAGAAGTTAGAAAAAAAACTCCATTTTGGCATTGCTGCTTTTAGGGCATATTCCAAGTACTTGTATAACCATCATCAGTGATCTAGAAATCTGCAAAAGATGCTGATATATTGCATTCATGGTATAAAAAAATAGGAAGATTGAGCACTGAATTTTCAACATAAAAATGGAGCTTGAGGTATTTATACAACCCTTTATAATGGAGATTAAATCTTACCCATTGCATGTTGTCTGCAACTATTCAGAACTTGTTACATGAAATCTCATTCCTGTTATTATTCAGAAGATCTACTGTTGCACAAGGTGCAAATAAAAATCAGTATAACTTATTAGCTATAAATTTTGAATACTAACAAAGTACCATCTAAGTTCAGTACAAAAGACTAAAGCAATTGGCCTGCACTGAGAGTCAGAAAATTAACAAGCAGGGCCTGCAGCCTGCACAGAACCCATGCCACCCCACACCGCTCTCTGTACACAGGTTGCCAAAGTGAGTGCAGTACATCTATGCAAGCTGCAGCACAGACACCTCAAGTCAGATTCCTTCCTCTGTTCTCAACAGTGAATCTTAACAGCAATGAGCTCAAAAATGGGTTTTGTTGAGACTAAGGGTAATTTCCGGCCATGTTAACAAAGCACATTTTATCAGTCAGAAATGTCTGGGATAGCTTAAAAATAATAAAACACTGTGTGGATTCACTCCATTTCTTTAAATGGTCATATTAAATCCTGTAAACACCAGATATCCTTTGGGGTAAAAAACAAAACAACCCCCCCAACACCAAAAAAACCCCCCAAAACCTACAAGATAAACACAGTCCAGGGCTGGCACAGAGGGGCTAGATCACCAGTGTCACAGCTTGAAATTCACCAGGTAAATCCTCTCATTTAAGCACGTCACTCGAGTGAGCTTTTCAGTTTGGTTTTGATAACTGAAAGGGTCCAAAATAATTTTCAGTAACTTGTTTCCATCTCCTATTAACTACAGATAATTTTTTTTTCAAAAGATATTTTTGTTAATCTGAAAATCATATTATTTTGCATTCAGTATAGGGACAGTCTGAACAAAAATTATTGTAATTTCTAATTCATGCACAAATATTATGATTTCTCAAGTGCTTAACTGGTTAGTTTTCTAGACTGCTGTCTGTTAGAGAAGGGAACCGAATTCTCTGGGCAAGTATCAGCAACATTAAATTAAAGAATATAAAACATCTCAATTTCCTTTCAGAATAAAATGTAAAATAGTCAACATGGCCTAAAATCATGCGCTATTTTAACCTATCTGTATTTTGACGAGCGAGACAGCTTAATATTTTCACGTGGCCTTTGTAAAATGCCTTTCTAGTTTGTGTGAATATAACTAGTGTTATATGATTAATTTCTTAGAAAACACATGCACTCATGAAAGGCTATGATAAACTGAACACATTTGCTACAGGGCATGTTTAAAACACTATTTCTTGCAAGAACATCAGTTTGACATAGCCTGTTATGGAACAAAGTAGCCCAAAATTAAAACTTGGCATGCCAGCACACTTTAATTCTGTATTTGTGAAATGATTTTTCAAACTTAGAAGCCCTTTTCACTACTTTAAAAGGAAAACCCACACATACACACAAAATTCTAACAATTCTAACACCATATTTGTTCTTTACCAACTAGCATATACCTTGTTTTAATGGTTTAAAGCGATTAAATCCCTCAAGATTGTGCATATCCAGGCATTACTGAGGAAATAAAGACACCCGTCACTATTCTTCTTAAATTTTATTCCATAATAAAAAATAGAAGATGAAAGAAATAGAGTGTTCAAGAATTAAAGCAGTTGTTGGTCAATGTAAGGAACAGTAAACTAATTATCTCAATGATTATTAAGGACCTGGTTCATCAAAAGTAATTCTAGGTCCTCCATGGCATATTTGAAGGCTTCTACAAAACAGAAATCGAGATCATCTTTTACTGAAGCAGGTCCTATGTTATCTACAGAACACTTGATTTCATATTCTATTTATCCTTCTCTTTTTGTTCTTTTTCCTTCTTTTCACGTTCAGCTTTTGCTTCCTCCTCCTCATGTTGTTTTATCAACTGTTCCACCTCCTTTTGCTTCAGAACCCTTATTACTGTCTTTCCGTTCTCTCTTGTCAGTGTTGCAATTTCAACTGAAACATATGGAACAGATAGCGGCATTACATTTTGTCCTTTAGACAGAGCAATCATCAGAAGGGTAAGACTTGTGGTTACAACTGGCAACGAAGCAGAAGGCTTTTGTCCTGTACAGAGAAGCTTGACTGGCAAGCCAGACGGCAGCAGTCCTCTTCTACAGCAGCGTATAAAAGTGCATTAATACCTCTCCAGTGATTCTTCTACCAGACACGCAGCCATTTCTGCTACTACACCAATGCGGCCTACCATCCCTAAACTGTGGTCTAGCCCCTGGAGCTGACCAAGGTGGATCATCCTCAGCTAAGCTATCTGTATACCTCTTAGAAAGGTTAAAGGCTGACAGCTGCTGCATCTTCTAAAAATGTTTTTCACATGACAACTAAAAATCCAATAAACCACACCTACTGTATATACATTCACTACATTTTCTTTTTTTAAGCAAAGGGTGATACCCCATATTAACGAACTGCTTACCTTTCTCTGCAGAGAGTTTGCTAACATCCATGGTTTTGTTTAGAACCTTAATGGCTAATGCAAGTGCAGTCTTTAAGGTCATTTCTCCTTCCTTGTAGTCTTGCTTTAGCATCGACACAGCTGCCTATAAATTTCACAGAAATTAAAATGGTATCTTTGGGCAATCAACCAAACAGTTGCTTTTTGCCAGATAATATCAGTATCTGAGTAACAGCAGTCTTTCTACAGTTACCTGTTTCTGCTCTGCACTAGTAATCAACAACTCAGTTCAATTAGTGCAATTTACACTTTTTTTTTTTTGCTTGACTTTTTGAGAGGAAAAAACCCAGAACTTACAGCGCTATTATTCCCAATGCACGTAGCTTTCCACCCTCCATAATTTCCACTAGGATCACTTTGATACAGCTGAAATCCATAATGCTTATCCCAGCCAATATAGAGCAACGAAACACCAAAAGGACGTTTTCCTGTTGAAAAGAAGGCCATTAGCAATCTAAATTTAGTAACAAGATTGGTCATGAGTGACAATTATTTTCTTTGATTTCCTTTTTCAAATCTATTCCTCTGAACTAGGATTTAACAGCCTGTTCTGTACTTCTGTTGCTTGAGATAAGCACGCCAGCATTTCTTTAGGGGGGGGGGGGGGGGGGGAGGTTTATTTCATTTAACCCTAAGAACAGCTCATTTCTGTCCCCACAAATTGTGATTTATCATCTCAGGACTTTAAATCAAAACTTAGTATTGAAAGTATGTAGCTTAGCTGCTGAAGCATTTAACTTAATTATTTCACGCTACATATATGTAAAATACTAGAATCATCAGTTCACATCCTAAGGAACACTACTTACAACATCATTTTCTAACATGTTGCTTGATCCACAGAAAAATTATTTTTTAAAGTGTTACAATATTGATACCCCTACATATAGTCTCATTTGTAATTCATTGTGCCATTATGCTGGATGGGCCCAAAATGTTGAAAGGTTACATATCAAACAATTCTCTGCTGGTCTTTTGAAGGCATTTCCTAAATCCAAGAGGACTCAATGCATTCTGTGCAATGGGCCATCAGTTTCTCAATCACTAAAAGGTAGCACCTTCGGTAGCAAAACAGTAACCGTGACTACCCATTCCCCTCTTAAATTTGGCTATTGTTTTTCTCGGTATAACTCAGTACAGAAGAATTTAGTATAACTGTCCAAAGACTCAGATGCTTCAATTTATGTAACAGACTTATTCTTTAGACATTTAAAAGCACAATGGTTCATCACACTTCATTACCTCCAAACTGTGTATAAGCCTGCTTGATATCACATAGTGCTGTCACCAGTTGTTCACAAGGAATCGGCTCTTGATATTGTAACAAATACCTAATAAGAAAGATTAAAAAAGTTTTGAAAACTTGTTTTGCTGACAGTACCCTGTATCACATTTAACAAGAAACAAGTTCCTAAGTTAGAGCCTCTTTGATCTAGATGTTTTATGGCAAACAATCTACTACTGCTCTACTAAATGCACATTCATGTTGATTTAATACATGAACAGAACTGAATCTGACAGCGCAGGCAAGTAAAACGATGTAACTATCAGCAGACCTACCTCTGCGCAATGAGTCTCAGTTCATTTGTTAGAACGTTGGCATCTGAAGTTATTCCTGCGACACTGCAAGCCATATCCCTGCAATATAAGCATACAAATTAATTGAATTCCTATCAATCTCCAACAAATAGTCACATTTTCATACAGTGGTTCAAGCAGAACACCTACAATTGGGCTTTTCTGATCAAAACCATGTAGCTGCCATATAAAACAGGTTCATCAGCTTCCGCCTTTAGGGTACATAAAAAATATTATGCAACCATTTCATAAGAGCAGAGGTGGACAGCAAAGAGTAAGCAGGGCAGTATGTTAGTTACATGTATAGTTCTGAGAAGAGGATCATGCCAAAGACTATTAAGTCCAAGTGTCTTCACAAGAGCCATTAGCTACATAAAAGTGCCTATCAGGAGGCCACCTGACACAGCACACCAGGATACTGAAGGAGCCATATAGATGTGATGCCTTCAGTGGAAGCTGCCGGCTGACACACTGCATTTGTGTAACTGAAACTTAGTGATCTTGGTTTGATCATAAGAAAAGGAAGCGCTTCACGTCCTTGATTGTTTCATTAGCTCTTAATTTGATATTGCTACAGAGCTTTCACTACACAGAAAGGATTCAAGAAAAATAATTCAGGCGATTTCTTCCAAGTGAACTTAAGAATTTTTCAGAAGATGGAAGGGCTGGCCTACGCAACTACTCCAGTGCACCATTACACAGCCTCCTTGAAAATCTAGTACTTCCCACAGTTCTAGCTGCTTTCAAGATCAACACAGAATGGGAAGCTGACAGGATGAAAACTTTGTGTTTCACATGCACCTTTTGGCAAAGATGAAGCTCTACCTCCCTTATAGGCAAAAGAGCATTATCCATAACACTCTTTGCTCTGACAAGACAAATTTAACTTCCACAGAGCTAAAGAGGAAGTCATAATAGGGAAA